TTCTGGGAGTTGAAGTCCACTCATCTTAAAGTGGCCAAGTTTGGACAACACTGTATTAGGCCATCTAAAGTGAAAAAGCTACCACTATGTACATCTACCCAGTCTGGTCTTGGTGGCCAAACTTTGCACTGCAGCTTTAAGAATGGAATAAATTTAGATACTGGATCCACTGGAACAGCTCAAAACTCCAGCATCCAGTTTTCTACCATCCAGATCCAGTATGACATAAAGTATGACTTTAGTTGTAAAGACTAAAACATGACACAAGAGACCAAGTTCATATACACACTAAGCCACTTACTCAAGGAACAGCTGGATAGAAACCCAAAATATAAACCAGGGAGTTCTAGGAAGCTCCCAAGCCCATCAAGCACAAAGGTATGTGATGCAGCAGCAGTTCTTCCTTTGTCACTTTGAGAGCAACCAGTATGCCTGTCTTGCAAACTTCTGCAGCCTTCTTGATGTTGTATCTCTTGACTGTTTCCTTCCACAGGATTCCAAAAAGCAAACTTAAAACATACACATCAGCCAAAAAGGAATAATCCATGAGCAAATGGTCCTTGCAGGCTCGATTCACACAACACACTAGAGTTTACTAAATGAGACTGAGTAGTTTGTGGCTGAGCATGATGTGGAAGCCCAGCTATTGTTAAAACATGTTGCATGAACTAGATTTCCATATAATATGGTTTATTTGTTTAAGCATAGCATATGATGTGAACATAGTTGTTAACCTGGGTTTAGGATTTAGTGTGTTGTACAAACCCAGCAATTACCAAGGGCAGCTTTCCTGAGCCTGTTGTCCTCCTGGTATGTTGAACTGTAATCATTTCAGATGCAGCCATGCTAGTTATGATGGAATTCCAAACACATTTGGAAGACAGAGCTGGGGAAGATGGAGGATGACACTAGGCCACCAGAGACAAATCTAAGCCCTGTGATATTCATCCAAATAAAGCTCAATCTGAACTTGGGATGGACATCTAGCTGAGAGGTTGCTAGTAATACATGATTTTTAGGTTTGTTTTTTTCAACCTACACTTTTGGAAACTGCATCTAAATTTGAAAAGATTTAAGTGACAAGAAACAAGGAAGGTGCAGAAAGATGCTTAAAAAGATGGTTTTATGGGATTTTGTACTGTGCGGAACAAAAGACAATGCAAATGTACTTAAAGCTCTAACTGTACTTTGCCACAGGAATCCTACTGCATACATCTGAATATTGAGGTTTTCTCTTTAAAAAAAAAGATAATCTGTTCTTGATTTATCAGTTGCACTAAGCATTTAAAAGCTATAGTCTAAGCTATAGTCTTAAAGCCTTCTTATTGTCATTAACAAAAAGAGTGAATAGTGAACGCTTATAGAGTAAGAATAAAACTTGTTTGCAGATTTTAAGTAAGGTTAAAATGCACCATGGCTGCATTTTGCAAGTAGCTGTGGAAGATGGCATGTACATGGGAGAACCCAGTACCTGTCAGTATATTTTATCAGTCACTGGCTGGTCTCTGTGTCCATAAGGCCACCTTGCAGTATTTTGGAAAGGTCGAAAAGAGTAGCCATGATGAAAATAGGTGGAGACCTGAAATTGGGTAGGATGTGAACAGCTCAAATCCATTCATAGGTGAATTAAGAAGCAAGCTTAGCTATATATGAGTGCATGAGGAAACAAAACCCATGGAAACTGATGGGTGAAGATACGTGTTAACCAATTATGACTGGTGTCTGAGAATAACCATAATTTATAGAATGCAAAAATGTATGCCTACTTCTCAAAGTGGTATTTCATTTAAATAGGCTGGCCTGGAGAAATCTAGGTTTCGCTGCTGTCAATGGGAAAAGATGCAAGGAATGAAGACAAATAATGGAATGTGTGTTGGCTGGATTGCAGCCCATAAGAATGGCCTCCCCCCTTGAAAAGGTTCATAGAGATACAAATCACAATGCTTATTTATTATATTTTTATCCTATTTAAAAGATAATTGGCTTCCAGAAGAGGATGCAAAGCTATGAAAACCCATTTTGCAAGCATGTGCCACTATATTATTTCCAGTTGTATCCAACTGATTTACAGAGCTCTGCTGTATCAATTAGGCCCATATCACATGCTATCTTGAAGGTCTGGAAAGCGTACTTTGTCATCTACACTGAATGTAGATTATAAATTCCAGTTTCAGGATCTCCAAGATGCATTTATCTTGTCCACAGTGATTGCAAATGTGAATGAAAGAGCTGGCCACAATGCAAGAAGATGGCAGAGGGGAAACGTGTTTTAAATGAGCTTCATGGCTTTGAAGATAATGCAAACACAACCACAGCCAATTTTAAAAAGAGAGATCCCGCTCTCAGTCTTGTAAACTCCTAAGACCCATAAAGAAAGGGAAGTGGACAGCAATAACTTCTTGAAGTCTGAATGAAGAATCGAATTCTGAATGGCATTAGTATCCACTTTTACTCAAGTTCCTTGATTGAATACATGTTTGTGATCCTTGTTCCCACCGACAATGAAGCCAGAATGGGCTGTCCTTCAACTACCCAGGCCAAATGTCAGTAGAAACAGATTTGTTGTATCTGGCTGGGAGGGGTAAACCAAGATCCCTTAAACAAGCTTAGCAATCAAACTAATTTATGTTGATATTCCATACAAGTTTGTCCCCCCCCCCCATGGGCTTGTTACTTATGCAAAGTAATGGTGCAATAAACTGAAACAAGGTATGGAACATTAAAAAGATTAACACTGAGTCTATTGGGGAGATGAATATATTCAGTGGATAAAATAAATAAAATAAGTCACTTCAGCTGTCTACTGTTGTTACTGGGTACTGCTGTATTTTGAAATATATTCATGAATAAGCCCAGCAAAATAGCAACCAGTGACCAACTCTCCAGCACGAAGGGCTGACAGGTTCTTACCAAAACACAACAAAGTCCTCATTCTGTTTGGATTTCAGCATTATCGTTTGGATAGGAACTAACCAAAAGAATAAATCCAAAAAGGTATTACAGCTTTAGCTGCAGAACCCAATTTAATAAGCAACACTGAGTGCATACAAAATAACAATAACACAGATCACTTCAGTACTATAGAGTGAATCAAAAAGCAGTTGTATAATATCGATCACAGAAAAGATACTAAATATTATGGTGATTTCTCATTGATTGGTCTACTTCATCCTCCTCCAAAAAAAATAATAACAGAACCCTAGAAGACATAGTTGGGGAGGGATGGAGGGGAAAGAGAGAGAGAGAGAATTAGAGTATCATAACATCTGGACATAACAAGATATGCAACTAAATATGATAGGCAGAGGATGTGATTTATAAGCTAAATGAACTATTAAATTAGCTGTTAAGTCAAACCTTCAAATCTGGAAGTTAATCCTCTATATCAGCCTGTTTTGTACTGAATATCACAAAACCCTACTAGTTTGGAGGATTAAGGAACCACCAAACTATCCTTAAAACAGCCAGATCAGTAAATTTTGCACATGCTTAATAAGTATCCTTCCAACTGTACACCTAAAATTTAATGCAGTCTTAATTCGTAAGTCACTTACGATAAAGCATGAGTTATCCAATGCTATATAATACTGAGTTTTTAAAAGTTTAATCTGTACTAGAACAGAAACTCCCCAAAATACCTAATACAAATGGTCAAAGATGACATCAGAATAAATTAGTGTTTTAAGATGCTATATTATTTTCTGTTTCTGTTGAAACCAACATGGTTAATGCTTCTTGAAACAGATATAATAATGTAGCCTCTTGTGTTAGAATTCATGCAACAGAGCTGCTGGCATCAACAATAGTTTTACCATCTCAACTTTTCCCTTATTTATTGTAATTTTATGAATCTCACTGTGTGATGCGATGTCATCACAGTGAGTTTCCCTTCTTCCTTTCTACTTTATCAAGCTTTCCCTAGAGTTAATGAAGGAGCTCGGAGCGTGATTGTGCCAAATTGTATGATCAATTTCACTACTTGTAATGGAGGATCAAGGATGCCTGGGATACCTTCTTAGCGGCATCACTGTGTCATTCATAATGTCAGCTCCTGGCCTTCAATACTGTAGCGATGGATGAACGATCCTTTCAGATGTACAGTGGATCTTTCTGTTGCTACCTCAAACCCAGGTTAAGTCAAAGCTAGGAATAGTTATCTGTTTGGAGTATTAATTTAAACATAATTTTTAAACCCAGTTATATCCTGATTTTTTTTTTCTTGGCATGCAGTAGTTTAACAGCATTCTTACCCTGAAACTGTTCCTTCCCAGTTACCACTGGAGGAAATCCACGTCCAAGGTTTTTTCTTCCTTCTTTGGTTCATTTTTCAGATGCTTTATGGGCCACTTAATCTTTATCATTGGCTCCATCTGCTCCTGTAGGCGATGGCGTTTCATGTGAGCATTCCGACTTTTTATCTTGTCAAACACTCTAGATGTAGACCAGAGACAGCACTCTTCAGTTGTACAATTCACGCACACACAAGCATTTTTTTTTATTTTTATTTATTTTTATTTATTTATTGGATTTCTCTCCCACCCATCTCCCCTACAACAGGCTCTCCCTTTGCTCCAGCTTTTTCTGATGCACATGGACAATGGCCATCAGGGTGAAGACAGAACTTTCTGAGATGTCACAGCAAGTGACCCCAATATGAAAAACAGGGAAGGGGGGAACTCTTTTTTTGGATTAAGCATCATCGCCAAACATGTAAAATGATCACAAGACACCAAGAGGATGAATAAATTACAATACTACCTTGCACATTCTTTACATGGGAATACACCCTGACTGCCTGTGCTTTTGGGCCTATCTAGAACTTCCTTCTGGCTGCTGGTTGGACTGAAGACACTCTGTGCTGCTTTTTTGTAATTCCTTGGTTTCAGCTTATTCTCCTGTTTGGGCAGGTGGCAGTGCCTTTTCTTTGGGCTGCATACAATCTGCAAGTCATGGAATATCTCTGTGTTGATTTAATTACTCACAATTCATTAGTTTCCCAATTATAAAAGTTACTTGGGCAATCTTCAGATAAAACCAATTAAAAGCACTACCCCCCAAACTGTCAGTCAGTCGATCAATACAATAACCCTAAACCACCACGTGAAAAACAGAAATCCAGACCGTATCTGCCACCATTATGTAAGAGAACCACAACACGGCCCATGAAGAGCTAAAACAATTATGTCAACACCACAGCAAAAGACTGATTTTAAGATAAATTAATCTGAGAGGAAGGCACTAAGCAAGTATGCTTGGGGAGTACCCTCCACTGAAAATGTACTTCCTTTTCATCCCATTGTGTGTTGGCAAAGCCAACAAAGCATTCTAAGAGTACTTTCACACAAGGAAGCATGCAAAAAACACAACAGTAAGGGGCTGAGCAATAAAAAGGCTAAATGTAATGCATCTGTCAATCCCTCAGACATAAACTAGTGTAAGGACCAAAGCAGAGACCAAAGGTTAAGTACATGACTGCCTTTTGTACAACTGCCTTAGTTCTTAGTAAAACAAACAGCAGTGTATATGAATGGGGAATTTAGTCCACTGCTACCTGCTACAATTCTGTTTTTGATCAGGACTGCAGCAGGTGCAAAGAAAACACAATTTTTCCTGTCAACTAAAGACAAAAACACAAGTACACAACATCAAATCTTGTGTTTATGTCTCATCTGGCATGCAGATGTTGCACAAACATCAGAATCGTTTATAAGCCAACAAGGTAATAAATTCTTACAATGGCCAGAAGAATTTTGTCTTTCACAATTTTGCTTATGCCATTTGGAACATGGCTCAAGTACAGGATTTGGATTCCTGAAAGCCTCAACTTTTAAGGAAAAAAAATCAATTTGCCAGCTCTTTTGAAAAACCGCAGACTGTGTCTTCAAATGGGTACGGTACAGTCACTTCTAATTTATGAGGCAGTTAGTCCTTATAGTTGTGAGGAGCCCACACAGCCATTAAGGAATTGCCACAGCCTCAACCTAAAAGCCAACAGGCTGCAATGGTGTGGAAAGAAGGACCTTCTAGATCGCAAAATACGCATACTGATTATACCATGAATTTTCACAAACAAGTATTTATTCCAACAGCTTCACAAAAGGAAAAGAGAAAGAGATCAGGGAAATTTCTCCCTGCATGACCTTGGAAATCTGCTGCATGAATTCTGCATTTCCTAAAGTAAGCAGGGACACAGGATAGGAAGAAAGTGTAGATTTTTAAAATCCATTTACTAAATGTCAGCTATGATTTCCAACAAACTTTTCAATCTCGTTCTACCTTTTCTTCATCCAATTCTATCTCATCCTGCTCAATCTTGGGTCTCTTTTCTACCACTTGTGCTCGACTGCAGTCAAATTTTAATATTTTTTTCCAGCTATAGTAGTATTCAACACACTGAGAAACAGTCTTAGTTTGTATCTATTAAAGGAGGAGGAGAAAAGAAATAATTTCAATATGGGCAAAATACAAGGAATAGTTTTAATATACTAAACAAACAAAATGTTGCTGCTGTCTTTCTCTACGCTCCTTTTGTATTCTGTATTCAAGAGGATTTCAGATCAGATTTAGTCTCAGGCACCAAATAACAAAAGTAACCTAAATTGCTCTGATGTAAATGAGCACGTAGTTATGCACCCTTAAAATAATTAATGGATTTTAAAGGTAACAGAAAAGCTAGTGTACTAACAATAAAGGATAGATTTTTAAAAGAGGAAATAAAAACACTACTTTGTGAAAATATTACCTTCTTCTGTATGAGGTAAAAGTCCTTTTTGTGCAAGCCAAAAGCTTTCTTAAACAACTGCTTCTCAGCAGGAGTCCACAGATGTGAACCTGGAATGCCAACAAGAAACAAATTAGTAATATAGACAATCTGTTTAATGGCCTATCGCTCCTCTAAAATTAAAATCTTTACTGCCTCCCTTTTGCTTATTCTTGTCTCTTGGGAACCCTACTAGCATAATGAGTTTGTCAATACATCTGGAAAACTCAGAGCCTATTTTATTAACTAATATTTAAAAGCCATAAAGATGAATAAACTAATTCACATCATTTCCCAATAAAGGAAACAAGACACAAGAGTAACAATACGAGAAGCATTTCCTATCTCAGTAGTGGACAAATGATGTCCAGTTTTCAGGAAATGTATATTATGGAGTCCTCAGGGTTCTCTGAGCTTGGCTGTTTTCTTGCAAACATTTCGTTACCCAGCTAGTTAACATCTTCAGTGCTAGAATGGATTTGCTCTCTGTTTATATACCGTGGCTTGCCCTGCCTATGTTGGTGTTTTGCTTTGTTTTTTTCTGGTAGTTCCCTGATTAGGGAATTGTTTACTGCTTGACTGTATGTCTGGTGATAACCTTGGTGTTAATCTCTTCTTATCTGGGTGATGATTGCTGGTGAGGAGATGTTCTGGTCTTTTGTTTTCCTTTCTA